GGGGGGAGGGGAGGGAATCAAATCCAAAGTGTATTCCTTTCTCCCTTTCTCTTTTTTCTTTAAAATTAATAATGTCCCAGATCAGTGGTTTTGAACTGGTCTGTATGGGCTCCAGGGTGTTTCCCTGGGAACCTCTCCTCAATCAACGCCCAAGACTTTTTGTCTGAATTTTTTTTTTTTTAATATTTACCAATGAGGAAGAGAACTTCTCTTTTGTGATAGTTTGCAGCCCAAAGACATCATTTTCACAAAGCAAGGTTTGCATTTCTTTAGCTGAGATTTGCCAAGTCAGGCTGTGAGCATCCTGAGCTGTAGGGGAGGGGTCTGTGCCGGACTTATTTTCGGGGTCTGAGAAAAATTTTTCCCTTTCAAAACACTTTAAATCTTTGCATATGTTTCTACACATACCAAAACTCATTTATTTCCAAATAGAAGTCTTAAATAAAAACTATATTCGGTAAGAGTTCTGTCCACTGTGGATTGTATAAATTGGGGGGGAAAACATTGCAGAAAAGTACGGAAAAGAAACAGAAAACAGGTTTGTTTTTTTAACTCCTAGCTTTTCCAAAACATCTCTTGCGGTTTCTCCAAACCTCTGACGAAACCTGTTTTTTGTTTTGTTTTGTTTTGTTTTTTGCTACAGCACTATTTTCCAGAATGAATTTCTGGGCTCCCAGAACTTATCATTTTAAATATGAACACAAAAATCCCAGATCTTTGAATGCATTCTTCTGGCATCAGTGAGGATGTGGTCCTTTCTGTCGTTTTTGACTTTCCATCACAGGTCTGGGATACTGCTTTAGCTTTCTCCCAACTGTCACCATTCTGTCACAGTACTTTGACAGAAGACGCTCTGTGGTCACGGCTGTTGCTTCTACAGGAGAATGTTTCGCTATGTTTGCTTTTGCACCAGGTAAGTGGACGCGGCTGCAGTCTGTCTACGTGTTCACGTGAACTATAGCTCTTCTTGCTACACTAACTCTTGCCAACCATCAGTGAATAGATTGACAGCTTCGACTGCGTGCAGAAGGAAAGGTTAATTGTCTTCTCTTGTCCAGCACATTTTCAGGATCTGTCTTCCCTAACCCCAATTTTAGGAATTCAAACATTTTCATACTGGTCCAAGTTTACATAAACAGGAATATACAATGGCACATATTCAGTGGTAAGGCTTGAAACAGCCATTGCAAAAAAGATGATTTAATGATTTCGGATTGTTCCCATTATTCTATTTCTCTCCTTGGTCAAAAGAGCCATATTCAATGCAGATTTAAATTGTGCTAGTAAAGTCCCTTTCGTGAATGGTGTGTGGATAATCTCACAAGGAGATTTTTTTTTTTTTTTTTTTTCCGGTTCGGGGCCCTCTCACCGTTGTGGCCTCTCCCGTTGCGGAGCACAGGCTCAGTGGCCATGGCTCACAGGCGCAGCCGCTCCGCGGCACGTGGGATCTTCCCGGACCGGGGCACGGACCCGCATCTCCTGCATCGGCAGGTGGACCCCCAACCACTGCGCCACCAGGGAAGCCCTCACAGGGAGATTTTTATCCCTGGTTTATTTCCCTATCTTAACGAGAACCTGTGAATTTCACTAGCCAGTGGTAGACAAATCACCTAGAGACTTAGATTGACCTCTTACTCTGCCATTTCTTGGTGAATGTGTCAGTGGATCGCGGCGGATTTGTTCAAAGGAGATACATGTAGTAGTATTTAGGGGTGACATGTCATGTCTGAAGCTTTTCAGATAGTTCAGAAAAATTAATGTATGCTTGCCTATAAATAGGCAGACAGAGAAAAATGTTAACTGTTGAAATTCGCTGAAGTGCGGGCAGGCAGATAGGTATCATTCTTCGCACTTTTCTGTCCGTTTGAAATTTTTCGGAACAAAACACTGAGGGGAGCATCAGTGGCCTGTGAACGCCCTGAAGGTAGACACTGCATCTTGGTCGGCTTTGTTCCCTAGCACATCCCTGGCACCTGGTAGGCAGGCACTCAAGGAATGTGAGTTGGAGCAAAGAGCAGACCGATCATTGCCAGAGGAGGGTAAAGCACTTTGAAATACCCAAGCCTGAAAGATTTTGCAATTCTGAGTTTCCCATATGAACAGGGGGAAAAGAGGTGTGAGCCAAGCATATGCTACAAAAGTGAATGGAGACCCCGTGCCCCGGAATTCGGGGCTGTCTCGCTAAGCTCATCTGCTTTCTCGGGAACCAACTTAGCATGTCTCTTATACCTGACTGTCAGCTCTCAGAGAATGAGAATCTAGTGAAATGAAATTCTAATGAACATCATTTCACCTTTGTGGGATGATGACGAAAATTCCTGAAGGTCTCGTGGGGCCTGCATTATCCTCTTGTCACTATGGGTCCTGAAGCCCCCTTGGGCCTGACACCGCCCAACCCCCAGAGGACCCCAGCCAGGGCCCAGTCCCCCACTCCAGGCTGCCTCTGGGCTGGCAGGAAGGTAGTTAGAACGCTCCACAAAGAAAGCGGAGAACTGTAGCAATACTGCACAGGACCATACTGTATCCACACTAGAACTGTCTTAATTCCAGGATAAAATCCTATGAGCTTTTAGATTCTTAGTTTATCCTCTCCTTCATCTGTTACTACTAAGGGTTGAAGGAGTGGATGGAGAACGATCTAGCTCAGAGGGTGGAAATTCTGTCTTGAAGAGGCCAGAGGGGAAATATTTCAGGCGTCACGGGCAAGTCCTTGTGGGATCCACTCATCTCTGCGGTGACAGCACAGAAGCAGCCGTAGACAACATTAAAGAATGATCTCGGCTGTGTTCTAGTCAAGGGTTATCATCCAGAACAGGCAGCGGGTTGGATTTGGCCCGCAGACGGCTGTCTGCCGAACCTCGATGTGGGTCACGGACTTAGTTCATCTCGAGTCTCTGCCTGGCGGAAGGCACCCACCAGAGCTCTCTCAGAGGCCTGGGCTGAAAATGTGTATCTCTGCTCATCCTTATGCACCTTCCTCCTTCTCGAGTCCTAAAAGCCCCCAAAACCTAGAAGAAAGGGTAGTGCCTGTCGACTGCATTCGCACGGCCAAGTAACTTTTGTTTACCTGTTTCCCGGTCCGCGTTTCTTCTCCCCCCGCCCCCGGTCTCGAGTTCGTTTCTGACCTTGGCTTTTCTTTCTCCTTCGCTCCTGCCCACCCAAGCCATCACGGCCCTGAAGGAGACCATCGGCTGGAGGTACAGCCTCCTCTTCGTGGGTCTCCTGCAGCTCAACCTCGTGGTCTGTGGGGCGCTGCTCAGACCTATCATCATCAGAGGACCCGGGACCCCCAAAACCACCGCCCATGAAAATCGGAAAGAAGTGCAATACATGCTTGAGAACGAGAAAACCCGCACCTCGATCGATTCCATTGACTCAGGAGTAGAACTACCTACCTCACCTAAAAACGTGCCTGGTCACACGGCCGTAGAGCTCGAGCCCAAGGCCGACCTGCAGCGGATCCTGGGCCAGCCCGGCTCCAAGCCCGGCTGCCAGAAGGCCCCGCTGCTGGACTTCTCCGTCCTGAAAGAGCAAAGTTTTATCTGCTACGCGTTTTTTGGTCTCTTTGTCACCCTGGGCTTCTTTGCCCCGTCCCTGTACATCATCCCCTTGGGCCTCAGCCTGGGCCTGGACCGGGACCGCGCTGCTTTCTTACTGTCAGCGATGGCGATCGCAGAAGTGTTCGGGAGGATCGGGGCTGGGCTGGTCCTGAACAGAGAGCCCATCCGCAAGATCTACATCGAGCTCATCTGTGTCGTCTTACTGACCGTGTCCCTGTTTGCCTTTACTTTTGCCACTGAATTCTGGGGTCTCATGTCCTGTAGCGTATTTTCCGGGATTATGGTTGGGACGGTGGCGGGGACCCACATCCCGCTGCTCGCTGAGGACGACGTTGTGGGAATCGAGAAGATGTCTTCAGCGGCTGGCGTCTACGTCTTCTTCCAGAGCATCGCGGGACTGGCTGGACCGCCCCTTGCAGGTAAGTTAAATACACAAAGTAAAACCCTTGTCTGCTATCCTTTTACAATATTTTACTTTTCCACGATGGTGTATCCCAGGATGTTGAATATAGTTCTCTGTGCTCTGCAGTAGGAGCTTGTTCATTCACGCTGTATCTAATAGTTTAAACCTGCTCACCCCAAACTCCCACTCCATCCCTCCCTCATCCCCCTCCCCCTTGGCAACCACAAGTCTGTTCTCTCAACCACAAGTCTGTGAGTCTGTTTCTGTTTCGTAGATGAGTTCATCTGTGTCACAGTTTAGATTCCACCTGTAGGATACTGTCCTTTTATTAATCGTGCCAGCTTCCTATTCGAGTCGAATGGAAAATAAAACTATTGATTTTTATACTTGCAGAGATTTTTAGAGGTGTCAGGATAGAGGTTACCCGAGCCACCTCTCTTGACTTAAATATGAGGAAAGTGAAAGCCAGAGAATGTCAGCGTACAGCCCAATGGTAAATCAGTGACCAAGTCAGGATTAGAACCTGGGTCTGCAGCCCAAGCTGCCCAGGCTTTTTCTACCAGTTGGCCTTGAAAAATGCTCACAGCGGGGGCGGGGAACGCTTGGATATCTGACCTCAATTCCCTTTGACTTTGGGGATAACAGAACTAAGGGTCTTCTGTAAGCCAGCTTCCCTTCTAGGGAGGGGTTTTAGGGAACTGAACCTAGAACAGCACTCTGCAGAGAACTTCACTAATCACTACAGAATATTTCCCTGTAGGAAGGACATGGGTTTGTTTTACATGTTAGCCCTGAAATAAGTCCTTGAGGTTATTGTGATTAGAAATCTTACCCCATGTGAAAAGATACCTGAAATGAACTCGAGTGAAAATAAAAGAGCTCTTTCCTCTTAGGAGAGGATGTCAGCTTTCCTAAGGAGTGGGCATCTCACCGTTCCCAAGTTTTAGATTGTCAACTAGGACAGATCAGCCCACAAAGGACATCTGAGTGACAGAATTTTCTCAGGTGCTAAGTAGGTTGTACGTTTGTCTACATCTTCTCTCCCGTCTAGAAAAGACTCCTACCTTCCACGTGCTTTTTTCTTAAAAACAAACAAACAAAAAAACCCAGACAAAACAAGGAAGGCAAAGAACCTGAGAAGTGGCTGAGTTTGGGGGATCCTGGTGTGTGTGGGGGTGTCTTTGTGGCTAATGTGCTGACGCTCCCGCAGGGCTTCTGGTGGACCAGAGCAAGATCTACAGCAGAGCCTTCTACTCCTGCGCGGCTGGGATGCTTGTGGCCGCTGTGTGCCTCGCCCTCGTGAGACCCTGTAAAAGGGGGCTGTGCCGCCGTCCCCGAGCCGGGGAAGGGAAGGCCGAGAGTCACCGTGGGAAAGCTTTACAAGACATCCCAGAAGACTTTCTTGAAATGGACCTGGGGAAGACTGAGCACAGAGCTCCTATGAAAATGGAGCCCGTGTGACACGCCTGTCATTCACACCAGCCTCCCCGGGGGCTGGAGAGGGTGGGGGACAGGGGACCCAGGGCAGCAGAGATGTGGACCACCCACCCGCTTTCCAGACTACACTCTAAAGGGAATGTATGCGTGAACACCACTACCAACATCCTTCTTTTTTTTCTTGTAAGTTTTCCTTTTCGCTTGTTTTTTAAGCCAAAACAAAAACCACTGAACACCCTTTCCGTACATCAACCCGGCTGTATTCAGTAGCAATACAAAGATGCACAGGACTCTCGGGTTCGCGTTCCGGTTTTAAAAGAGTGACATGAATTGGCAAAGTGGTTTTAAGAGCTCTCACGTGTGATAAACTACTATCTTGGAAAAGGACATCTGGCTGAGGCCATTGCAATGAAATTGGCCATTCCAAAAAAAAAAAAAGGAAAAAAAAATCTTACAACATTTAAAACATTTCTCATTTTCAGAAACATGAACAAATTGTTTAAAACCCTTTGAAAAATACTGAGGTTTCCATGAACAAATTAGGGCCTCTGAATTTTCCACATAGTTCATGGAAATGAAGTGCAGCTTGAGACCAAACGTTTGGCTATTAGTAAACGGAAATTTACAAATATATGTAACTTGACCTTCATAAATGTGAAGGTGACCACTTCTTTATGGCCAGTCACTACCAGAAGCATTTCAATACAGAACACACAGCACAGCGTTCAAAAATGTGTTTCCTATTGCTTTTAATTATTCAGAAATATGTGATTGTAGTCTTTAATTTAAACCACTATTTATTATTAAGTTATTTTAGAATGAATAAAGTAATCAAAAGAAAGAAAATCTGAGACATAAGCAGAATTTCTGCCCCCTTTCTGCAATCCTTTACGTGCCTCAAAGAATACTTCTTAACTTGTAAAGTGACTCTCGTAAAAGGCCAAGTTTAAGGATTCTTCAGTTGGATTAACGACAACGTGCGTCATTTCAAGGGGGGGAACGACGATGAGTAGCAAATCGCCTTAGCTTTTTTAAATGATTTGTTTTATCACCTAAGAATACTTGAGGATCTTCTTTGATCAGAATTATATTTCATTGAATTGTTGAAGCATTTCTGATTTTTTTTTTTTAATCTCACCGTTGAAGCATTTCTGTATTTCACGTGGGATAGCAGAGACATTTATTTTACCATCATGAGTTATATCATATAAACCTTGATTGCTCTACGTTACCAGAGTTATCGAGTTAACTGGTCACTGGGTTTTGTTTTGGAGTTACATTACATGTATAGTATTTCTCATGTGCACATTTTTCTGTAAAAGGGCAAGTATGAGGGTAACAGGTTGGCTACGTACTCATAATGTCCTGAATCTCACTCTACAGGTGATGGTCAGTACCGCTGCTCCATCTTTATTCATTTACTGTTAATTTATGACAACTCAGGGGGAAAAAAAATATAACAAGCCTAGTTTGGTTACAGGTACACACAAGCTTGAATATTTCTCTGCACTGAAATGAAAGTGGCATATAGTTCATCACCACCTGCTACGTTTCTGTATAGTGCTTGATCAGCCATAGAAATAGGACAATCTGTGAAACTTTGGGGAGGGGCTGGGGAGGAAATGACAATGTGTCTGTCAAAAGCAGACACACCTGGAACAAGCTGGATGTAGCAAATCTCTGTCACTACCAGAGAAGGACTTGGAGCTTGTGGCACTTTTGCAGACTTCAAGACTTCAGCACTTTACAGCCTTTTTTACTATGAATGTTCAATACAATTTAATATTTATATCTGGTTTCAGAGCGACCTGCTTAAGACGTCCATTCTGTTAATTGCATGGAAAATAAAATGTGTGCCGGTTTCAGTATGTCAGTAGTCAAGGTTTTCAATATTTGGCAGAAAATGAAAACAGGATTTTGCTGATTTGTTCTGTATTCTGTGACAGTCTGGTACTTCTAGATTTGCAATAAATGTACGGCTTTTTTATTTAAAGAGAGTGATTCGGCTTTTTATTGACTCCTTGGCGTTCATTGTTGGATCCAGTTAAAGTTATAAAAACTCAAGGAAGATTCATGTCAAATAACGTTTTTAAAAGCTTTTGTGCAAAATCTTTTAACTGCACTAGAGACACATAAACGTTTCCAAGACGTGTTAGTTGAACATCATTATTTCATAAATGAAAAATAAATGAATGGGGACTTCCCTGGTGGCCCAATGGTTAAGACTCCATACTCCCAATGCAGTGGGGCACGGGTTCGATCTCTGGTTGGGGAACTAAGATCCCACATGCCACACAGCATGGCAAAAAATTAAAAAATAAATAAATGAATGAAATGATATCCTGGTGGCCACAGAGAGATAGCTCAGCCTATCAAAAGTAATAAGTGAAAATAGTTAAGACTAACCATACGTAGTTACAGAACAGGCCTAAGAACTGCTCTAACCTGTAAGTAAACAGCACGTACTTTCCATGCCAGGGGTCTGCAAAATCTTTTTCTGTAAAGGTCCAGATAGTAACTATTTAAGGCTTTGCAGGCCACACAGGCTTGGTCACAACTATTCAGCTCTGCCTCTGTAGGGCACAAACAGCCATAGACAAAATGTAAATGAATGAGCATGGCTGTCTCAATGAAAGTTTATTTTTGGATACTGAAATTTGAACTCCATAAAATTTTCACACACTATGAAATATTGTTGATTTTTTTCAGCCACACAAAAATGTAAAAATCATTATTAGTTTGCAGGCGGTCAAGAAAAGTCGGCAGTGAACTGGATTTGGCCTGTGGGCCCCACTGATCAGACAGGTACCACCAGTAGCAAAACTGTAAACTAGCTGTCCTGACTGATGGGAAAGGATCATCGTGGCCAAAGTGACCCTTAGATCACAGGTGCCAAAGATAGGAAAGATCAAACAGCTGCTGGCACATTATCAGGTTTCATTGCCTGTGATTAAAGAGATTTGGCTTCCACGTTACTGACGAAATAATTTCACTACAAATGTAGACCACTTCCCTTCCCAAAATAAAATCATTCCAGTTGTAAAAATGGGATAAGATCATGTGTTCTTTTAAGACAAATGCATCCTTAACAGATACAATGTTTCCAAGCTTTTGAACCAGGTTATCAATTTTCCACTCCAATAACGTGTAGGGTGTTAGCTTTTGTACATTTATTTGCCTTTCCTTTCACTCAATACCTGGTGATAAAATATAGATTCTAACTCAGAGTTCCATGGCCGAGTCATCCATTCAAGTCACTTGAGGTATTTATTACATTTAGATTTCTTTGCTTCTCAAATATTATAAATCAGAAATGATCATGAATCCCTTCTTTTTTTTCTTTTTTCTTTTTTCTCTTCTTGGCCGCAACGCACTGCACAGCTTGAGGGATCCAGTTCCCCGACCAGGATTGAGCCCAGCCCACGGCAGTGATAGCGCCGCATCCTAACCACTAGGCCACCAAAGAAGTCCCATGAATCCTTATTTTTAAAAGCTCCCAGATATGGGGTTCACTAATATGCCTAGAATTTAGAAGCCACTGCCCTTAAAATTTTAAATGATTATGAGCATTCATCAAAACGACCAATTTAAAGACAATTCAGACATGGTACACACGCTAAAAGATCACTCCTATAAGTATACATCGCACTGCAAAACGAGAAGCTGTCCTGGTTTTCAGGTTTATGGTTAATACAGGGGAGGCCTACAGTCTCCAACGGGTGGGCCAGACTCTGTTGCATAAGTAAGGAAACTAGCTCCCCCTGGTGTTCAGTGTCTGTCATGACCGCCTGAGGGTGCTGAACAAGAAAAGTGCCAAGGTCAGGAACTTGCAAAATTTCGTTTTTCACGTACGAAAAACTCTCACGGCCAAATCACAATGACCACAGTGACTACAGATCTCCTAAAGGGGAAATGGGACAGCAAAACGGATACCCCAGAACACTTTATCTATAAAGGCTTTTAAAATATAGCTCACCCAAGGTTATGGGAAAAAAATACAAATTGTTGTGGCCATGAATTTATATTATGTATCTACCTTTCCGGCAACTCAAGAAGAGAACAAGCACGCTAACCATCCTAGCAACTTACTCCCCTAGAATTCGACCCAAACTCTACCTTCTCTACACTGGGGACTCTCTTGCTAAGTCCCCACTTCACTGAGGGTCTCCCGACTGTGTGAGGGCAGCAGGGCCACCCTAACCTGTCCTCAGCAGAAGCCTGATCCTCTCCCCACATCCTACCTGCTCTGCTTGCTAAATATATCCAGAACCTGACTGCCTTTGCCAACTCCACCAGCAGCCCTGATCCGAGTCAATGTCATCTTCGCTCCATCACTGCAATCGTCTTACAGTAGATTTGCCCACTTCCGCTCTCGCCACACATGTACCCCAGCCCACCCTGGCCTTCGTTTTCCAGACAGAAGCCTTGCAACAATCCTTTTAAAGCATGAGCTGCACACGACCACATGCCCAAGTCTAGTACTTTCTGCCTGGCTCTTGCTGCACCGGCTTTATTATTGTTCCTTGAAATCACACGCCTCAGGCCTTGGCATCTGTGGTTCCCTTTGCCTGGCCCTGCTTTCCTGAGATGTGCACATGACATGAGCCTTCAATTTGGTCCCCCCCGCAAAAGTCACCCCCCTGACGAGGCATGCCTGAATAGCCTATCCAAAACAGCACTTGTTTCTACCCCTTTACTCTGATGCTATAAAAGTATTGTTTACTCACTTATTATCATTAAGGCATAGCAGTTTTTTGTTCACCGCTATATCCCCAAAGCTCTGAGCAGGGCCTGGCACATTGTAGGTGATGCTCCAAAAATATTGCTAGATGAATGAGTTAATAAGTGCCTCATGGGGCTTCCCTGGTGGCGCAGTGGTTGGGAGTCCGCCTGCCGATGCAGGGGACAAGGGTTCGTGCCCCGGTCCAGGAAGATCCCACATGCCACGGAGCGGCTGGGCCCGTGAGCCATGGCCGATGAGCCTGCGCATCCGGAGCCTGTGCTCCACAACCAGAGAGGCCACA